CAGTGGCGCAGGAACTATTTTTCATAAGGGGGGGCAAAACATAAAAAAAAACCTAACAACTATTATAATATATTTATTTGTAATTGATAACAGAAAACCTTTCTTATTATTTTATTCTTTTAACGTTAATATAGGTAGTTTAATATATAGGTATATACATAAATATATGTATATATATTTTTTTTATTTAAAAGTTTACCAGCTAGTTTAACATAGCAAAAGTTTACCAACATATAAATGTATAAATTTAATGATTAAATTTATACATTTATATATTGAAACAAAACATGAATCATATTTACGTTATACCTAAAGTTAAAATAACAGTTAAACAGTATCTAAATAAATATAATAAATAAGTTTTAAAAGAAATATATTTACTATATACCTGAAGTTGTATTCAAGAGTAACAATATATTATACAGAAATATAAATAAATGAAATATAAAAAATGTATTCGATTTATACCTTAGTCCTTAAGTTATATTCTAAAGTAACAATGTGTCAATATTTAAATAAATATAAAATAAAAATAATAAATAAATACCTGAAGTTGTATTCAAAAGTAACAATATATTATACAGAAATATAAATAAATGAAATTTAAAAAATGTATTTAATTCTTACCTTAGTCCTTAAGGTATATTCTAAAGTAACAAAATGTCATTATTTAAATAAATATAAAATAAAAATAATAAAATAAACTTCACAAAGGTTATTTTTTAAAAAGAATTACCTATAAAATTAATAAAAATTTCCAAATTTTGATTTCCTTTCTGAAGTTCTGGAAACAAATTCTTTGGCAATTAACTTCAAATCAATTTTTGCTGTCATAGACTTATGAACGTGTAAAATCATCAAATGAGTTAATCTCTTTTGGGTCATTGTGGACCTCAGATATGTTTTTAGTCTTCTCAATGCACTAAAAGAACGTTCAGCAGTCGCTGCAGATGCTGGTATTGTTAAAATTAATTTAATAAGCTTGGTGATTTCAGAAAACAAAGAATCTTTTACATTTGAATATTCATTTCTCAAATGATTTATAATATCTGAAATACTAGTGATAGATACTATAGACGGTAACATAATAAGCTGGGCATGGAGTTTATTAATGTCAAAATCCTCACTCATATTATTTAAACAATTAGTAAGTTCTTGGTGAGTTCTTGTGTTTTGATCTACAAGTATGTGTTCTAATTTAACCAAGTTTTTTAGACCTTGTTGATTAAAACGCCTATCAATTTCATTTATCAAATAGTCAATTATTTCAAACATATCTTTCTTCAATTCACATATTGGTGATAATTTTGTAGGAGGGTTACTTGTATATTGAAGTCGTTTTGGTGTTTTTTTGATACGCTTAGTGTCATCAAGTGGTTCTAATTCATATATTTCAGCATTTAAATTCACGGTATTTAATATCTTTTCAAAATATTCATTACTTCTGAATGATAGTAATGTTTTCTTTAATGTATCTGCAGCTTTAATTGAATCTGATGCACAAAATTTAGGATTTTGTAATACTTTTGCTAATTGTTCTACAGGACCAAAAATATGTATTGCAATAGTCAAAAAAAAAATTGTTTTTAATTTTTTTAATTTTTTCACATATCCTCTAAGTGTGAATTTTCTATCATCTGCTATACAAACACTCCCTGAAAGCATTTCATCTAATGTTTTTTGAACTCTGCTATAGTTATTTAAAAATCTTGTTAAACTTTTAACCCTTACAGACCATCTAGTAGGACAAAATGGAAGTAGATTTTGTTTTACACTACCCAATTCAGAGGAATTGTAACATGGCTCTAATACTATATTTTCATAGATACTTTTTCTCTTAGCAGATTCAAGAATAGCATTTGATACATCTCTGATCATAGTGAAGGTATCACACATAGCACTATTTTTTCTTGCAACTTCTTGTAATGCTAAATCCAGTGAATGATTACTACAGTGTACAAAACAACTTTTTGGCTGAATATTTTCAATTAATTTTTTCACCCCATTCAATTTCCCAGACATATTGGCAGCTCCATCAAAACAGTGGCCTCTTAAATTTGATGTAGATAAAGTAAATCGTATTAATATGTCTTTTATTGTGTCAAAAAATGTTAATGCTTTACTATCAGGTGTATTATATAAACCAGTAAATACTTCATGTACTTCAAAATTTGAATCAACATAGCGAATGCATAATGAAAACTGTTCTGTAGACGAAATATCAGTAGTTGAATCAGCAATTATAGAGAAGTATTCTGATTTTGTTATTGATTGCACAAGTTCACGCTGTAAATTTAATGACATTATTTCTAATATTTCATTCTGAATATCTGAACTAAGCCAATTATTTCTCTGTTGTATCCAATATCTTAAGCATGGAACATCTACACATCTTTCTTCTAATAAGGAAATAAAATTGCCATCATTATGAGAATGACCTCTAATACTTATTCCCATCTGACTAAGGTATCGCAAAGTACTAATAATTGTTAATAAGGCTGTGGATGCATTTTTTTGTTCTTCAATTTTTTGTTTTGATAATAAAGAAATGACTGATACATTAGTATTAATACTTAAAAGAAAATGTATAGAGTTGACGTGCATTTTACTGTTTTCATGGGACTGAAATTTTTCAGATGCTTTTTTCCAATTATTAAAACCATCTACTATAAAAGATAACTCTGTGTGTTTATTTAATTTATTATTTGTCTTATGATAAAATGAAATACAATCAAAACAAAATGCACTATCTTTAGATTCATCATAATGAAGCCAGGCAAACATTTCAAACCACTTTGCACAAAATGATCTTTTTTTGTGTTTTGGAAAAATAAAATTATTTGATGGTTGATTTTTTGTTTCAATTATAGGAAGAATGGGTTGACTACTTTTTTTTGAAATTGAACATGTTGAGGCGACATTACTGATATTATTTTGTAAATCCTGTTCTATCTCTGACTCCTGAAAAAAAACTTAGAGCTGAATCAGAGAAATAAATGCCCAAACAACACTTAAATGCATGCATTTATTAATATTATACTGTCATTGTTTATTTAAAAAGTTTTTGAAATTTTTTCTTTAACACAAACTAGTCTGTAGACTGTAGTCCTTACTGCACTACTGCAGTTAGTAGTATGAAACTATGAAATAACAGTCTTAATTATTATACGATTTAAAAATATTTAAAAGTTGTTATTTACTTTTATTTAACTTAAATTTAACCTTATATAAAAAAAAATACTTATTGTCAGTGAAATATATTCAAAATTCAAAGAAAACAGTAAAATTCCTCTAAGATTTACTCAAAATATAAATTTTATTAGGTAAATGTAAAATATTTCTTCTTTTTAATTTTGGTTGGAAAATATAAACATTACACTGGAAATTATTTAAATTAAGGCAACTAGATACATAAACCGGCTTTTAACCATCATTAATTAATAATTAATCATTTTAATAAAATTAAAAAGCATAATAATCTCGGGTGTGTACAGTTGACATAAATACATAATATATTATAAATACAAGTAGGTAATTATTATTATTAAATTAGCTTAATTAAATCCAGTTTAGTGCCTATAACATATTTTGTTCTACTGTCTACAAAATATTAATTAACGACATTAGTAGTTGAAATATATTTGAGTAGGAAATAAAAAAATAATTGGTGGGTATCTAAAAAGTAAAATTATTATTCGTTCAACAAAAATATTGCTTTGTAGAAATCAGTTTGATTTAGGTATATTGATATATCACTATATCAGTTATATTTATATTTATAACAATTTATTTTACTAGACAGATTAATAATTACAACAAATAAAACAAATTTATTTGAAAGTATGTCTTAAACTTACCTCGTTAGGTATAAGTTCCTGAATTTTCACAGGTGTTTTCAATTTGAAAAAGTCTCTAATATTTTTTTTTGGATTGGGAACAGCCATTGTAGGTACCGGTACGTGTAACGTGTTTAAACAATTACAGTTGGTAAATATTTAATATGAATGTTACTGTAAAGTACTAAAGTGTAAACTGTATTCTGTATTTCTGTAGCGACAGCCGACAGTCAACGATCACGACAGCGTACTCATTTAATAGTCGTAATCAGTAATCACTAATCGCCAATCGGAATCTTATCGTAAACGATATAAACTGTAAAAACCCAAAAATAGCCTAATGATATTGTAATAACTAATAATAAACAATATTGTAACTATGTTGTGAGAACACTATCCGGGACTGGTGGAACTTCCAATTATAAATATTTGATAAAGCACTCCGACCGAAAACGTCTATAAAAATTACTCAATAATATTATGTTTATATATTGTATTATGTTATAATAATAAATCGATAATAATAATAATAATATTAATTATTATAACGCACACTCATGAAAATGACTTATTTTGAATACGTAAACGTATAAATTAAGCGTAAATTACGATTATATTTTACCCTTTAATTTTAATGTGGTAGGGGGGGCAAAATTATACTTTTGCCCCCCTTGGATTTTATCCGAGGGGTCAATTGCCCCCTCTGCCCCCCCTTCTCCGGCGCCACTGAACATTAATTAAGCCTAGCATACTTAAAGCCGTTGTCCGTTGAAATAGTACTTGGTGAAGAAAGTAAAAGGAAAGTTTCTCAAATATCTCTTTCAGACAATACAATCAAACGACGCATTGATGAATTAGCTTTGGACATACAAAATCAGTTGATTCATAAATTAAAAAATTCCGTATTCTTTGCAATTCAGTGTGATGTGGCCAATTGTTGTCAGCTATTAGTTTACTGCCGTTTTATAAATGAAAAGACTATTGCAGAAGAGCTTATACTATAAACAAACGTTTACTTATAATAGATCCTTAATGATATTATTATTATTACGATTTACGGCAATGCTGCAGGGGTGTGACTACCGTCTGTACGGACATTATATACTTATATACAGTCTACCTACTCCTATATGTGCCTACAATATATACATACAATAAACATAATATTAGTGCCCAAGTCCTTCACATAACACACGCCCGCTCGCACACACACACACTTTGTGGTGTATGCGACCGACATAAAAATATTTCAGAGGGTTATCGATAAATCATTATATTATTCAGATCGGACAAACAACGCGAACACGCCTATATACGTTATATGATCATAAATATATATATATATATAATGTATATGCTTATGTATATGTGTGTGTTTATATACTTTATATACTGTGTGTCCATATATAAGTACACATACGTGTTTAGTATATATATGCTCTGAGTGGAGAGTTTTGAGAGTCATCGGTAGCCGGTAGGTAAACGTCGTTATTAAAGGACGGACTATAGCTACGTTTGATTTAAGTGCGAAATATTTTATTATTACGCTTTATTTACAAAATATTTTATTATAAAGTCGTCGCCGACAATTACTAGAAAAATAACCGAAAACGGGGGCGCGCGTTGTGTGTGTGTATTGAATCGCTGCAGGGCGCCCATTAACTCTCATGTGTACACACGTCGCGGGTATGTCCTACCTATGTGTATATTATATATTTAAATATATTATAAAGTAATAACGCTCGACCTTCCCACCGCCGTCCGCACAGGTTTTTTAACGAACGTACAAATCATGAATAAATTATGCGAAGATACCGCGGCGTATAATATATATATATATAGATAATCGGAATGGCGTGATGCACGCCGCGTTCTCCCGCCGGTGGAATTACAAATGAAATATTAATATTTTGTTATCGACCTATATAACTGCGTTTTTCGACGTAGGGAATCAATTACATGATGGGGTGTAAATTAAGGGCGCTCTCCGATTCACGGTTTTCCACCGAATTCCTTCCTCCGGCGGTAGTAAAGAGTATAATCAGTAATCACTATGGGACTGATAACTGATAAGGTATTATATTGAAAATGTCCATTTAAATATGAAACATTAATATTGCAGTACCCATACCTATTTTAACTTCTGGACCATGACCATATAGGACTAATTTCAATATTTTGTCTGGGGGGGGGGGGCTGATCAAATTCATGCTTTACTGTTAGGTTGAGTAATGTTGACGTAAAACAATTAGTATCAATTAAAAAAAAATCGAGTTATGTAGTAATAATAAAGTTAATAATAAAATATAATTTTCAATTATATTATACTTAAAAATGATTACATATGGTAATATAAACGATTTTATTTTTTATAACGTATAATAATTTTTTGGGGATAAATGTTAACATCACCATACACCCCAATTGCGCTTATTATAATATATGCGCAATACCCAATTCCGAATGTATCCCTATGTTTTGCAGGATAACATTATAAACTAGAGGCACAGAAAAAAAAACATCCTTAAAATCCTTCCTCCTATAAAATTTCTCTGCCCCAGTATAGTAGTATATTAAAATAACTGACAGTAATAAGTATGACAAATTTATTGTGGCGACTCTACAGGGGTCTCGCTACAAACTTACAGCGCAAATACAAATATACAAGAAGTATACAACGTAAAAGCGCCTCACCGTAGTGAATCAATAAACTGAACACATAAATCATAATATTACTATTGCCCCTATATAATTACATAGGTATACCTGGCCAAACACACAGCCGAACACATACAGACCGGGTAAAAAAAGAACTAGGAGAAGTCATCAATTTCGCTGTATAGTTCGATATTCGTTTAAAAAAATACAAATACACAATAATATATAATATAGAGGTATACGCCGCGGGAACGAAGCGAGACGGCACGGTAAAAAAAAAAATACAATATAAAAAACCGTACTGAAATTTACGCGTCCGGACCCGTGCCCCGCTCGACCGTTTAAATAAATATTGACACGTCCGAAGAATTATTGTTACGACTCGCTCCGGTGGCGGCGGCACATCAACCAACCAGTCATATAACATATTATTATTATTATATACGAAGAGGGCCACCACCGTATTATTTATAGGGTAGTATTTAGGCGTATTTATGTATAATGTATGTGTATACGAAGATATTAATATTAAATATTATTGTGTGGCGAGTGGGAGGTAGGTATAATAATATTATTATTTCTTGCATTTCCTTCGCTCCCCCTCCCACCAGTACATCCCCGGCATCGCGACACCACTACCCGGAACCAGCGGCACCGCCACGCGCTCACCGTGTGTTTGTGTGTAGAATCTCCGAACCGTTAAGTCGCACGTATCCGTTTACCTAACCGCTTTTTTGTGTTAACCTCTTTTTTTCCGCACTGCTGTCGCGCACGCCGTCGAGAACCCTCTCGAGGGTAACCGCGTGAACGCGCCTCGTGCCACTGTTCAAACACAATGAGGGCCCTTAAGTATTATTATAATAATATATTATAGTAATAATAATATAATATTGCTATGCGTAGCCCCTAAGGTGCATATATACGCGCCATAAGTGTACGATGTCGATGTGTAAGAATAGTATTGTGGTGACGCGATTTTCACTAATGGAAAAGTCAATCTTTCTACACGTGACTCCCCTACAGCGCCCCTTTCACCAACACACCGTATAAATAATTAAGATACAATCTAAAATGCATACAGGGTGATCCATTTAACGTGAGACACACATTAATTCAAAAACCATTAACGTTTAGAATTTTTGTTTAGAAAATGTAAAGTAGTTCAAAAACTTTATTTTTTACTATTATAGTTATAATTTGTCTCAATTTTATGTACATCGTTGTACCTATATATGATATATAACTTATTAAGTATTACTAAGTATTTAAGGTTTTGAGTGGACTGGTACAGAGTGTTGATGCACTAGAGCACCGCTAATGTAGATAAAAATAGGGTAGGTAGTACTTATGACTAGGTAATAATAAACTACTTGTTTGAAATTCGAATTTTACAGATTTCTGTAGGTACCTACTAGAATAATTTCCTTCTTCAGAATATGAAATTTGAAATGTAACTACATGTTATGGTTCAAAAGAGTGAAATAATAAAAAAAAATATTGGTATATTTGTCCCCCGCATATGTTTCTTAAAAGATGCAGCTGTAGTTTTTGTACCCACTGAATGCACGAAGACAAGCGTATATAGGTGGACACTCACTGCAGTTAAAATACGCACTAATAAGTGCTGTCACCGACGACAGAGTTTGTTTTTTACAATACAGCATATGAATACCGTAGTTAAATTAAAAGTATTTTGAAACATCGCGCGACGGTTCGTGTGACTTAACATTGAATAAATAATAAAACCAAGTCACAGTCAATAAATCAAGAGAAAAGTTAAATTTTGTTTTGCTATATATAGGTAAGCTCTGTATATTATAACGAATATTATAATAGTACTCACCAGTATGAATATAGGTATGCTTCTTCATATCCGATTTCTGGTGGAACCGCTTGCCGCAATACTGACATGGATACGGTCTCGTATCCGAGTGAATCAGCAGATGAGTCGAGAGCGTCGAAGAACGCTTGAAAACCTTGTAGCACAACTGACACTGAAAAAAAAAACAAACAACTGCATGAACGAATGTTTGAAGATATATGGTGCAGTCGTGGTGCAGTTTCCGGAAACGTTAAAGTATAAAAGCAATATATCTACATTCTCCATATATATACCTATATCTAGGTACATAAATGTTGTTACCCATACCCATATTGAGTATATATAGCTTTGAAGCGATAGGAAAAACCAAATACTGCATGAGACTTATGGTGCGTGAGTGCTACTGTACAAGCGTGGCACGGTTATGCATTTATAATATTATAATACAGGATAGTCCATAAACAATGTCACAATGTCAGTGTTTAAAAACATTACATCCCGGTGGGTTTTGGCCGTAGCGCGATCGATGTGTTGTCAACTTAACCAGGCCACCTCTATAAAGTTGTTCCACTTCTGCTGCCAACGGCTGTTGATTAACTCTTCTGAGAGAAATATTTGCTGTTGGTTTAGTTAAACCTGACATGTTGTCGAGGGTTTGGGATGAGTTTGGTTATTTTTGAGGCCTCGTAAAAAACAAATACTGAACATTTGTGAGAAAAAAATTTGGTAATTTGATTACATTTATCGTTTTAAAATCAGGTCATACTTTATACAGAACATTCTGTATATGAGTTGACCAATTGTAAATGAAGGTACGTCCATATAAAAAGAAATATGGTCCAGGACAGACGCCGTTTTGCGACTACTCCTCATTTTTACAGTATTTATAAAGGATGACAATAATGCACAATGGAACTACATACAACTATGTATATGGCAACATATCCATTGTGTGATAATGTGATTTTGCGAGAATGGACACGAAGCTACCTTTTGTAATTGGTCGACTCTTATGTTAGAAGTATAAAAGAATCAGAAATCTGCGAATTTTAAGAATTAAAACCAAAGGCGTGGCTTTGGATATGGGTGGAATTTCGATATTCAGGAGAGAACGTTTTAATGGTGTCTGCGCGCTACCAAAACCATAACATATATTTTTTACTGTATAAGACGTACCTACATTAATGTTTAAAGAAGTACGTATTGCGTGTGACGGGAATATATAGTTGCAATACGAACAGCATAATATTATGCCCGTTGGTGTGAAAACGCCATGAATGATGTAATGCATAATTGTATAAAACTCAAATAATACGATACATTAAAAAACTAAAAGACCAAAATCCGTATCCTGCTGTCGCAGTCACCGCACATAAAAAATGCTCAGTAATATATAATACTATTATTGTGTACCTACACAACCTACATAATAAAACATATTATTATTATTGTACAAAATGGTATACCTTACCTATATATTTTAATGACGCCGAATGTCATTGCCCGCATGCCGTCGAGAATCGCAACTGTTATATAGTACGTATCTATGTATCATCGTAGCAATTTCCATTTTTGACTAGGAGATGAGGGGCTGAACAATTTATTATTTATTAGAAAGCTCGTGTATGTATAACTGCGGTTCCAGTTTAAAAACGACAATGCTGACGCATTTACGAATTTATAAAATATGTTTTCAGTTTTAAACTAATATTATTTTCTTTCTCGGATAAATAAATTACTTATAGGTATCTGTATATAATTAAAATTCAAAAGTAATGTAAGAATAATCGAAATACCTAAGCATTAAATTAAATTTATAATTGTTTTTAATAGTTTTTTTTTTTTTTTTGAAGGGGGTGATTTCTCTATTCTTAAAGCACCCTACAATCCAATTGATCCTATCGTATATTTACAACGATCGACGAGACATGTTTACGATTCCGCTTGCACACCAGACTTGTTTTTTAGCCAACGAAAAGAAAGAAAACAAGAAATCGTGGTAAACATTTGGACGTTGGGTGGGCGGGGCCGGTCGAGTTTCGCGCAGACGATTGTTATAAAAGTTCATAAATATGATTTAAGGGGTTGAGATTCGCGACCGCGTTTCACCTTGCGTTATATCTATACACACGATTTCTTGTATACATAATGTATCGCTTTCCGATTTTATAATCGTCCGCACGGTTGTGACTCTTCGAACAAGCTAGCTTAGGGTAATAATTACGCGTAGGTAGTTATTAACGATTACAAATCGTAGACTAGATTTAAAACACGCATATCGTGGCAAAAAATCAAGGTTTTATGGTGTATTATTTTTGTATATATAGGTACCTAATAAGTATAAGTTATAATATAAGTCGATCGGAAGTAGATCACAGCATATGCGTCGGGAAACAATCAGTAGTTTACGTGAAATTTCCGTCATTGGCAAAACGCGGTTTGCATTATTATTTTGGTAATTCCGTTAATCAAATCGACACATATTATACAATATGTTCCTGATAAAACGTAGATTTGACGATGATGATGTAGATTGTAGGTACCTGCATGTACGATGTAGCTAGTAAATGATAGTGAAATTACATAACACAGTGATTGATTTTTTTACTACGGTCAAAGCGAGATTTCAATTTTATCGGTAGGTACCTACTTGTATCTTATTATTAGTAAAATATTATTTATTGTAGACTAGACATTGTTTTAATTTGTTACTACACCACTATAATCATATTAATATGTCCATTGTTCATATAAATCATATTTTTATCGCCGTTTTAGAATCATGAAGAGGCATTTAAAAACAATTTACTTTTTAAAGCCCTGTTTAAATTTCGTTTTATACTCTTTATTTTACATTATCTATTTTAATATACACACTATTCATTATTTTGGATTTAGGTGCAGCGATTGTCATTGTTATTTATTTTTCTGTTGGGAGAATACATTTCAGGCTTATAAAAATTGATGACACATTTTGTCATTCTGAATAATATTTCTATAAATAGGTAGATAAAGACATAAAGTATCAGTTAAAATAATAAATAACAATAAAAAAAATACTAGCCGAGAATTGCACACTGATAATATTATAGGTACCATAGTCAGGTCACACATTGGACTGCGTTGCAAAGAATATTGTATTACAACCGGTCTTCCAATAAACCATCCCGCTCCACCCCTATAGTTGTTTTTCTCAGCTCCGATGCCGTTCATTATTTCGACCATTTAACGTATAATAATATGGCTAACGCATTTTATACATTCTGTTCCCGTCGCATGCGGCGAACTATAGAATATTATGATAGCTTAGCAGCGAGAAAGGCGCTCGGTGTACGGTTTGAGTGAGGGTGGAGGGAGAGGAAAGTACGCTTGCGAAACTCGACAGTACCTATCTATATCAGGCGCAGTATATAACGTGGTTTAAATCGCCGCCGCTGTGGGAAATGAAAAACAATAATGATAATAATAATAATAATCAACAGTTCCGGGCCTTATCTCGTCGTGGAGACTGGCATAAAAAAAATTGCAATTTCGTTAATTAACTGGCAGTCGTACTAGAGTGTGTACGTATGTAATATGTATAATACTTCAATATACCGAGACACGGTGTGACGACAAATATAAAAATATTGTTGCGAGATCAAGTCGTGGTGTGTATATACTAATATTACTACTATTGCTCTCGGCAGTAAAAAATAATCTTATACGTTCTGGATTAACTCGTATGACGCGTATGTATACCTATTATAGTGATATTTATACACGCAAAGGACCGAAGCGGCGGTAAGTTTTTTTTTAACGACCTCTTGGCGGCGGCGATACGCGTTTCCAGTGTCGTGTTATATTATAATATTTTCACCTTTTCGTAAACCATAGTTTCTAATAATTTCTCATGCTACATACCTACTATATAATGAAATATCGTAACACGCATCCAAATCTGATATATCATTGTATAGGTAATCAATAATGCACACCGCACTCGTTTATCTAAAATGACGTTATCGTTTGAGACCGACGCGATTCGAAAATCACGATATCATAAAAATAAAACTTTCAGGATTATCCACAGATTTCTATACTAGGCTTAGTATACCATTCTAACCTACACATTACGCGTTTGTTCAGATAAGATACGTTATTGCTATTAATTTAAGAAGTTTTATTTTTAATACCAAAACGTTTCACCTGGAAATATCCGTAACAAGTACCTAACAATATAATATTATTTTAGTGTAAGTGAGTACTTATCGCGTATCTTCTTGACTTCGCATAGGTAATAGATGATGTGATTCAAGTTGATAAATGTGCGCAATGAATAATTTACCAAAAATGTATCTATTGACTGACAAAGCGAAAAAATCAGGAGACTTGTTGGTGCAATACATTGAATTATAAATTGTTAAGAGCTTAGAATTATTTTTAGTTAAATAGCTTTGATTGAATATTTAAAAAAGAAAAATGTTGAATGTAAATTTGTTTCGATTCAAATCAAAAACTAATGTTTTGTTTTTATCTTATATATACCTATATATATCTTTATTTATTTATAAAATTAAGTTAATATAGGTAAACAATGATAAATAGATGCGATGTCACGAGGATAAAGGTATTTAATAGAACAATAAATATTTTATTTTAAACTGCGTCAAACGGATGTTTGTAGTTTTGAATTATCGACATTTAACAATATTGTAGACGTGGTCACTGTTACATTATAATAAAAATCCGTTTGCAAATGTCTAAAAAAATTTTTGAACAATTTACAAAACGAGTGCAAATGGTTTTGCTGATATTATATTATAGTGTTCATTTTTAAAATTAAGTAAATATTATTTTATATAGCTATTAGAGCCGTTGTAAGTTGAAGTATAACAATAAAACACCAATGCAGGTAATAATAATAATAATAATAATAATAAGATAATAATCAACTCAGTTGGATATTATCTAGTCTTCAGTGATAAATGATAATAAAAAGGTATTATAAGAGTGCACTGACAAATGTTCCGGCTACTTATTGAGAGGCCTGTTGGTTAGGACACAACAATGGTCAATATGGGTAGGTACTAACACTACAATTTAATAGTGGCCATGTATGAAATGGTGTCCGTGAGAATTTATGTACAATAATAGATATTGTTATAAAATTACAGTTCACGGTAAACACCATTTTGAACACGTCCAAAAGAAAAACATGGTTCGGGGGCGTTTATATGCTTTCATTGTAGCAATATAATATATTATTATGTGTAGACACATGCTGAACTGAAGTATAAATATTTTACGATGATGAAAATATCTTGGTCGATTCGGACTCTACGAACACGTCGAGAACGCACGGGTATTGTTAAGTAGGAGCCCTCCTTTAATTTCTTTGTGTCGATATCATACAATTGAGCAGACAGCCCAGTGGACAAATTTCTCAACATTTTAAATTACACTGCAAAAATCACCACACCCTCTTCGCCAATTAACAAAGCTCTACCGCGGTTATCTGGTTATAAGAAGTAATTGGCAACCATTAGAATATTATAATTTTCTCAGTTGTAGGTTTGAGAGTTAATACTATAATTGAAAATATAATGTAGGAATTCATGAACTTTGAGAAAACATTAAAATTAACGAGTCAACCAAACAGTATAACACTATATACATGTCTACTGCACTTTATAGTTTTTACATACAGTTTTTACCTGATAATATATTATTATTTAAACGAGACGAGAATACGACTGTCACATTTCCTATTTTTATAAATTCGTTTTAATTGATCGCAATGTGTCGAACAACAAAAGAGGCACATCTGTTTCATTTGTGATGTGATCATTGTATGATTATTAACACTACATTAATATTATTCTGTAGCCTATGCGAATACGCTGCAATACTATTTATAGTACAAATGACCGAACTCAGGCGACAAATGAATTAGTCGTCATATTATTATACGCAAAGGACGATTGTTTTAATGAACGTGTGAGATTCTTAGAGTCCTCGGAACGTTCAGCGATCTATTTATAGATGGATTACGCGTTGTATCATAATGATCAATTGGGTCAAAAACTCACGTTATAATATAATATGTAAATGAGACGGCTAACGACAATTTATTGTGCGTTTACAAAAGTGAGTACCTATACGAAAACGAAATATTCTCACACAACGCCGGATTAAGTGATTAATTGGAGGACGTGCAATAGTAATAACCGTCATGTTTATAGTATATTCTCACTCTAAAAGAAAAGAGAATAATGAATTTTTGTTTTGATTTGGACATTTCAATTTTGTTTCTAACTTCATATCATCCATAACAATCAATAAAAAATATTATAAAACTATATCTATTGAAGAAGATAAGTTATAATAATTGAATTAGTTCTATAATATAATATTGAATTGATTTAATAGATTTGAAAAAATTGAAATTCAGTTGCTCAACTTGGAGTAACTTTTTTCGTTAAGTAGGTATGTGGCTTAATAAAATAAATATTTTTAAACTATTTCTTCTAACAATATAGTGCGAGTGATGGTGACACCCATCTTACCTTTAAATAATTAAACAATGGTAAATATAAAATATATTATGATGTAAACATTATATTATATTAGATGCAATAGGTACTCGGAGTTTTGGAGAATTTTATACCTATAATTAGTAAAAATGCATCTAATTAAGTACTATTCATGTTACGCATAATGTTCATAACTTAAAGTGTACCTCCTATAATATAGCAATATAAATATTTTCATTTAAAAATAGTTACCTATTACACATAACAAACGCAGATAAATAATGTTTAAGCTCAAGCGTGATGCTTAAAGAAAAATGTTGTGAAGTTGAATGAATTCAAGTTTAAGACATGCTTAAAACGAAATATATATTCGACACCATTATAAAATTCCAGGGGGCAATTCCCCCCCCTCCCAAAAAAAGCCCCAGATTACGCCAATGATGAAATTCCCATAATACCCTATAATTGTATGAATAATGCATAGATCTACCTGCAGGGTATGCAAGTACGCCACTTAAAAATGATTATAACTAATTACGGCAGGGAAATATATATAAATATAGGTAATATATAAAGCAATAATAGCTGAAATCGACGGTTGGCAAGCCAAAGCAGTCAATACGTTTTCAATGCCTGCAATATTGGTGGTAAACGTTTAGTGTGATTTTACAAGCAGACAGGAAAAAAAGAACATTGACTTTGTATACAATACAGGTAAGTACAAATTATAAAATAGAAAAAGTAATTCGAAGTGCGTGTAAAAATTGTTGTGCGACATAGGTAAAAAAAATGATATTGAGTATACTATGATACGACTATGTTTTATATGTATAGGTACCTGGAAAGATCTCTCTACTCCCAATACATTGTCTGTTAAAGTTTCCTTGGCTACAGGCGACTTTTCCTTCTCGCACAAACTTCCAGGTGACCAAATTTCTTGACTCCGTTTTTTTATGCATAAGTTCAATGGAGTTTCAGAAACTTCATCTGAAATATTTGAAGTTTGATTTCTTAGCAATAGGTATCATACATTTTTTTAACATAGACATTTAAAAATTCTTTATTAAATAAATGATATATGTTATGTGTGGTATTATGCCATCGGGTACATGAACTATAATTATTATGTGATCGGGCCGACTCGTCGGCCGGTCGGCGGAGCACTTAGCCGATTTATCGTCCACTAAATTTTAATTTCAAAGAGGCGGCTGGCAAAAATGCCTGTTCGACACGCCACATAATTGACCGAGTTTTGGTTGCACCATAATATACGCAGTAATTACTAATTATAGTTGCTTACCACGCATATTGAAAACAAAAAAAAATAAATGATGACGGCGACAACGATGATGATGACGATTATATAATAAAGTAACAGTTTTATTTTCCGTATGTGACGGAAAAGAACGATAATAATATTATCATATCGTGCCATACATAATATGATGCGACAAGGGTCGTTGTTGCATAAATTATGTAAATAAAATGTAGCCGGTATAAAAGTTAAATAAAACAAATGATTATTGACGATAGCCATCTCGTCGACTGCGGTAGGTAGGTAGGTAGGTACGTACGTACTACCCTGCGTAATGGATATATATACCTATATAATATAATGGTATACAATAGTATATATTCATATAAGCATAATATGCAGATATACGTACATAGTATATACTGTATAATACCTATATAAAAAATCGAAAATTATTATATTCCTTGTTGAAATGGTTCTTCGGGGTTGAATATTTGACGACAAAGTCGTATAGCGTATTTATTAAATGACAGCTAATGTAACTGGTTGTGCAGTAGGTACATTATATACAAAGTATGTATATTATATGAGAAAACAAAAAAATTCGAATGATGACATCTATCATAGTTTAAAGAAATATTGCTTGTTTTACTGTTGTACCTATACATACATATAGAATGTTATAAAAAAAAAACATTAAAAAATCGCTATAACCAAAATTTTATTCTCACAACGATTTTAGAGTAAGATTTGAGCTATTCGCTTGAAGTTATTTCATACAATTTACTGTGGAGAAGCAAAGCACAGCAATAGATAAAATATACAAACCCCCCCCCCCCTCTAAAACAGAAATTACGGCAATGTGAGCGAGATTAAAAATCTACTATTTGAAAATTGTTTTGTGTACAAAATGATAATTCTGCAAATGGTTTTATGATAATACATTTCTTATGTAGATTCATACATGAATATGTGATTTATATAATTATGTATGAACGGGATAGGAGTAGGTACAACATTAGGTATATATCAACAAATTTAACTATTTCTTGGAAATATTTTTAACCGTGTGTCTGATACTGTTTTTGAAAAACGCAAAAACGTTTAAACACATAATATTTGGTAGATACCTAAAGGACATATTTATACTATAATTTTTGAGGACACCCATCGTATCTTTTTCAGACGCCACACTATATAGTATAATATACAAACAGTACTTATAGGTACTATGTATGATTTTTATAATTTATTTATTTTAATTTTGTTTATGGCTGCAGTTTTCCACCATTTAACTGTTTCCTGAATTCAAGTGTAATCGCATAAAGTGATAGTTGGTTATTGTTTTTCGATTATAAGAAGGTAGAGACAAGTATAATAGAGTTATTCACATTCTTTATGTTGTGTTTATAATAGATAATAAAGATAAATTTTGTATATCTTGGAGTACAATGCGTTATAGAACAAAATGTATTATAAACAAATTGGAAATTTTAGATATTTCTATTAGTATTTCATAAGATATTTTTTTTAAATATTTTTTCATATTTTTATCGTAATTACGTTGAAGGTTGACCTTAAAAACAATATAAAATTACACATGAATATGGCGACCTATACCATTTCGCGGGGGTGAGTCGAGAAATAATAGCTGTAGTACAATATTTTTGTTTAGTCAATGACAATACTCGAACTCTCAAATGTTTACAGGTTCGATCATATTTCATAACGCGGTATCGTACAAACTAGAGTTCAAACAGGTCTTATAATATTTAAGTAAATATGATTAAAAATGGTAACTAGATACAATATTATCACCTAACATTGAAAAAAAACTTTAATTACGCTACTATATTATTTATAACGGATTAGTATTAACAATAGATAATAATAATAAAAACATTGAAATATATTTTTGGGCGCTAAGCATAATAGGCCATAGTATAACATCATTCAGAGGACGCCACAACCGAATGGGTTGTCTCCATCTTACAAACGTACATACTACGTATTATATCAAAAACTGTTTTGCGTGAAATAGAACCACTCAAGTTGTAGTACAATAGCTAAACAACCAAATTTTCATACTATTTAGAGAAGAACATTTACTGTGTTACTTTGTTTTAAACATTTTTCGATATCACAAATACAAAAATATTTATTCAAGTTTTAAGTAATGAATTTTTAAGCATTAAGAACTTTTCTTGTATTTGTGATATCGAAAAAGTAAGACAATGTTGATTGCACAGTAAATGTTATCTTGTTTAAAGTGTGGAAAATTGGTTGTTAAACTTGGACTACAACTTGAGTGGTTCTATTTCGCGCAAAACAGTTTTTGGTATGTTGTACGTTCGTATAAGACGGAGACAACTCATGCGTGTGTGGCGTCCCTCTTAAAAAGATATATGTCAGCGAAATATTTCTCTTCTCTGTCAGACCCAAGTGGGAAGTACAACATTTAGATAAAACGCGTTCATGTAAAACCGTTATTTACGATGTTTGAGTAATCTTAGAATAAAATCACCTATTACAATAATTATGGAAAATAATATTTTTAAGAGTTTAATATGTATCTATCGGCTATATTTTTTATTACTATTTGATTTTATATAATTTTACTTAAAAATAATTGTAAAAAATATTCATGAATTTAAACTGTCTTGCCAAAACAGTGGGCTGACATCCTTTTAATACATATCTACATTCGAACATGAAACGGCGGGCGACATCATATTATATTATATTATGTATATAGCCGAACAGTATAAGATAGGATCTCCTGCAAAAGACACTTACCGTTTTTAGCCATCTCGGGTGTCTGGCCGGCCGTGTCCAGGCTGGCTCTGTCCGGCGACATCTGCTGGCGGAACAGATATTGTTGCTGCTGCTGAATGTAATGGAACTGCAGCTGGACCTGGCGCTGGTATTCGATGCTGATGTTGGTGGGGTGGAACGGATTACTTTGAGGGAATATCGGTGGGTACGGTACAGTGACGTACGGCTTATTTTGGAAGTTCATATACTGGTAGGGCATCATGTGGGTGTTTGTGACCATCGCGGGATACGGCATGTCGACAGCCGAGCTAACTGGATAGAACGCGCTGTTCCATTGCGACCACTGGACGCTGGTGCCAGCTGTCGGCGACATCGAAAATTCTCGTGGCGATGGCGTGCTGCCACCCGACGAAAATGATTGAAGTTTCATGGTTGCAAGTACAGCTTTCAACAGCTTTCGAAGACCAAATTCCAATATAATATCACGACAGGTGATGTCGCGCTACTGCTTTGGGCTGATGTCCCGAATGCAATTGAAGTTAATTGCCAACGATCGTCTGAAACAAAACGGAAACGGTGAAAGTCTCGTGACGACTACTGTGATATAGGCATGCGCCTATGTTATTTGTGTGTTTATTCTGGGGAAGCGGGCTCACGGGGAACACTCATTGTTCGGTAAATTATTTTTCTTTAATGGAGACGTACCCAGAAAATTCAGATACCTAGATATAAACCAAAATATGTAAATTGTATATTTGTGTCCGTCAACCCGACCGATCAACATGCTGTCATTTTATTTAAAATTTATTTATTATTGTAAATTATTATTAATAACGAAAAATGATGTATGTGAGAATGTGATTAACGGTAAAATTGAAATGAATATAAGACAGATAAATATTTAAAAATGTATAGAATAAAAAATTATTTATGATGAAAATGTAATATAAATCCATATTAGCATTGAGTATACTATATTACTATTTCTTAAATGATATGATTCAATATCAAAAAAAAATTTCAAACATGAGTACTTTAAGAAGTTCAAAAACGTCCTGTCAATTATTGTAAAGAAATGAAGATATTCTTGTTTCTATTCATAGGTACAAATATATAGTTAAGCAAACTGTTATAAAACTGTTTATGCAATTTTAGTTTCTTGTTTATCAATAATATTTGCAGAGTGGATATTCCTAACTTGTTTTTTATACCTCTTTATTTCAATATTATTCGTATAGAGTAAATAAGTTCTATTATTAGGTATTCACGACTTCACAAAATGCAAAAAATAAAAACCTTTTTCATCATTTTATCCCGTTTATATCAATTACAGCTGGCCCTTTTTTATTTATTTTTTTGTAATTAAATCTTTGTAAAACTATTTTGTTATTTTTTACAGTTATTTCAATAATCGATCTGTCCGTTCTGCAATAATTCTAATCATGTATAATTATTTACACTTCCCAAATATTTATGAGCTTATATTTGTGGAGCTGTCCAGGGATCAGTAGGATAGGATTGCGCATGCGATGAAGCATGGCTGTATTAAGTAAAAAGTAATGAATATCGTGACGAAAAACTTAGACCAACTGTACAATCGATATCTCTTAAGTCGTTTAAATTTTTATGATTTAACTAGAAATTGTAGACGGAGACTTATCCAATGCACGATTATCATTATTATTATATTATATGCATGTACTACAATATGCGAATGTTTAACAAAACTACATGTATAGGAGTATACAATATTATATTATAATTCGTATACATATTATATACCTATATACTCTTCGGTATACTAAGGTGTATAGCGTGTGTTCCAAGTATGACCATATGTATGTATGCATGCGTATGTATAGATGTGTGTGTGTGTGTGTGTGTGTGTGTGCACATTACATTCTATATATTCTATATATATAAGGCACGTTTTATTATATATATATAATATATACTATATATATAAGGTACAAGTATAACAATATAGCAGCCAGCACCAACTCTTCAAATATTAACTATAATTACCTTGTGGCGTGACATCGCCGCGCAATCCTATAAAGTCATTTGCCAATGGGTTTCATCGATTTTTTAATTATTACATCGCGGCGGATCATTTGCGTGAATTATTTACGCAGACCACAAGGCATGATATTGGTACAATATAAAATAATACTTGAAATAGGGGGATATTTTTTAGAAAATATTATTTTTAAATTTAATTTATGTAATATGTGTGGAGTTTAATGGTCTACTAACCTTGGGTCTTTAACAGGCCACTAGATTTGAGATACGAGAAGCATTATATTACCACTGTCCTTTTAATTCGACCAAAGCCGAGGAAAATGGAATAAAAATGTATAAAATGTATAGTCTTGCATAGAAAATTGTGTATCCATTAAAACACTCTTTTATATACATTTTCATTTAAATATAGTATTTTGCACGTGTGACCTGCCTCCTGCGAACTAGTTGTGAACAGGATTGTAGCCGACCTCACCAATTACACTCAGGACTATTTAAATGGCCGAAAGATTACACCTTTATACATGTCCACTACAACACCGTGTTAAATTACATACATGCCACTGGTTCAAAATCCAATTCCGACTTACAGGTTTACCCATAACGCACCTGACTTTTTATTTTTCATCTTGAATTGACAATAAATGTCACTTTATACATTCATACCTACTTCAGGAAAATTTTTCTGTTATACCAATATATATATAATAATATTATGTATTGTGTATATGAGCAATGTACGATAGTAACAAACTACGTGACTCGATCTAACTGTCTAGAAGTAATGCGTTTATTCAGGCTAGAGAGTCATCGTGCACAGTTAGGGGTTGTTATGGGTAATGTTATGGATGCAGAATGAATGGTACCCAAAACAATAATGAAACTGTAAGTAAACGTTTTTGTACTGCATAGCTAGAAGTTATTTCTATAAAATATCGTATTTTAAATAATGTAGGATCTTTATACTATATTATACATGTCAGGTAATCGATAAAGAAAACGGAAATCGCAGGTTATACATCTATACATTTTTCGATCATATAGAATAACACGTCTTGTATAATTGTATATAGTATTATATTATAAAATTGTACAGGAAATGGAATAGAATAAACCTAAAATTTCGAATTCAAAATAAAATATGCTATGTACAAGAGACGGTCATCTATATTGTATATATACACGTCAATAAAATGAAGTACACAACGAGACGCCAAGAGATTATAAATCTCAGCTTTCTATTATAAATAAATGTCATTATATAAGATCTATATATTAGTACATTCGTTAGAATTTTCTTTTTCTTATATTATATACTATTACATGGTACAGTTCAACTGGTAACCATGTCAAAAATTAAATGCCAATATACTGCTATTCTAAAGATGTGCGTAATATTGTTATTTAGCTAGGTACCTACTAAAAATATCCCTACAATAATGTGGGGCACAACTATAACGTGTCGCCATGTTGAACCTTAGGGATTGAGCGTGAAATATACCTTATCTCTCTGCATTTTCTCTATTGTGCTTTTGATTTTTGACATTCTGGAATATTTCTTTTGAGCGTGTTCTAAGATAATTTTATATTTTTAGTGGAAAGCACATAAAAGAAATACTTAGGTATGCATCTATCTATGTATAAATAAATATACTGAATTTCTTAGAAGCATGTATCAAAATACCAGGGGTATAAAATACTGCCCTTATACACATGAGTCAATGGATTACAGACACCTACTGAGATCATCTACCTACAACGATATTAAACACAATATATTTTTTGTACATTACATTTTTCCTAACCATAAGGCTTAAACATATATATATATTTACAAATAAGTGGTCGTTTTAAACATTTTCCTTTTGCGTCCCTATCTAACTTCAATATTTTTCAAATAATATTATTAATTTGTAAAACACTTGCTAACTTTGTTGTCACTTACTATAATCTAGGTAATGGTAAATAATTTATCTAGTAGTCAAGAACTGAAGCCCGGGGATACGAGTATTCTAACTCTATATGTGTATTGTATACACCAGTAACATATAGGAACATCATTAATTATATATAATATTGATAATGGACAAATAATTTATAGCACAATTAGATTTAAAAAAAAAAACTATTAAATGTTAATAAAGTTTGATACCAATAATTCATACATATTTTCAATGTGTATTAAATGTTTATCAAATTTTTACAAAATAAATACCACTAGTCAGTTACCAATACATTATTGAGCAATAATTTAAAAAAAGTTTAATTCTTAAGAAAATTGGTTTTTTTAAGCGTTATTATTATTATAAAATATGAATTGTTCCACCTACAAAATCTATTTTGAATATTTTGCAAGGCGTATAAGTAAATAAGTAAAACAAATAACAGTATAATTGTATTGTTGTATACCATACGACGACACTTAAATAATTTAAAGCACACGAAAGCAATTAAATGTTTTTAACCATCATATATAGATAGGCGGTGCGTCGAACTATTACTCTAATGTGCAGATAAAATTCGTTTTGTAGTTCAGATTGAAAAATGACGATTTCATTCCGTTCCGAAAAATGTTGCCCCATAAATCCACTTAAAATATAATAGGTAATAATATAGATCGACTGAGATATAAAGTGATTGCGGTATACGTAACGAAAGAGTCTTTCAACAGCCCGCCGCCGCCGTTATCGCGGGTCCCATCCCGAACTGTCACGATTTCCGATCGAAATTAACACAACAGGTACAACATATATTTATACAATAAAATATTATTAAAATATGACATCGACTCACCTGTGATCGTTGCAGACGAGAAATAATCTTGAGCTGTATTTATGCGGTGTGAAAATGACTGTTCAGGGTGTACGGATATTCGTCAATCAGCGTCGACGACAATGGAGGCAAACAGACAGTGACGGCGAAGACGTAGACATGCACGCGCGATTCACAGACGACTGACTGACGCTCTGGCGCGTGGTAGCCCGGGTGCCACCGAGCGCCCGGCGGGACGGTGCCGCCTACGGCGCCTGTGATTGGACAATGACGGTGGTGAGGCGGGGGACTCTGCGCGCGCGGTACACGTTCGGCCCAGGATTTTACGTCAGCGGAGGCGGCTGAGGAGGGAGAAACGTTGTCCGACGGTCCCACAACATATCGTTTTTTATAACAGCGGGGCACGACTAAAATATATAGATTTGAGTTATTCTTCGATACAATATTGTAATAAATATAATAAATATCAAAAAAATATATTATAGGACGACATTGTAATATTGCTATATTTTAATATAATAATATATTAGGCTGAGTATGAGACTACAGCACCTCTAGTTTCTCATTGAAATTGTGCCACCGAATACGATTTAAAAGATATACAAAGTGACGGTATTAATATATTGTATACACTACGCGGCGTGCAGCACGCCGTAATGCAACACCATTATTATTATCATTATTATTATCATTATTATTATTATTATTATTATTATTATTATTATTATTACTATTGGAGAGTTATCACCCATCAATGTTTTTTTCAGGGGGACGCTGTTATCTAAGCAACGGTTGGGTAGGGGTTAGGGGTGGCTCCAGAAAGCCATATTTTTCCTTATGCACCGCCGCATGCCCACCGACCGGTAAAGAAATCTTTGTACAAATATTATACCATCATTAAAATGTCGTTATCACACATATAGGTACCTAAGAGTTAGTACCCTTAGATCATATACCATGGATCGAGCCATGTCCCGATATTTGAATCACATATAAGCGAAAACACTCGATCATTAAGATATACTATCTGAACATGAGTTGCATGTTTATACTAATAACTAAATTATTCCTGAGAATTCATGAGTGATAATTAGTGATTCAAGGTTAGGGTAGGGTAGGCTGAGTTAGGTAATACTCGAGCGCTTGACTATAACGCATCTCAACGAGAGACTCTTCGCTAATATATTATGCTCCAAAGTATTAGTGTTAGGTTAGGTTATAGGTGAAATAGGCTATGACTTAATCCATAATATATGATCTAAGATTATGCCGCTGAGTATATCACGTTTCTAGATTTTAGTCATAATAAATAAAAAAAGTATTTTCATAAATAATTTGTTGCCCAATTTATTAAACAAATATTAAATGAGAATTTTTTTTGGGAATTTAGCCCTACCCCTACCACAATAAAAAATGTATGGCTACGCCACTGGTCTTAGTCGAGGTTTTTGGTACACCTGTGCGCCTGTACTCGTGAGAATCCTGAAACTTAACCTAAGGTAAATAGAAATATCTATTGGGCATAACCTCGGACAGACGGGCGAAAATTTAAATTTTCATAATTTTTTCGATGCTTTCCGCACATAACTTCCACACATGATTAACATTCACTTTACACAAAATATTGAAGTATTAATTATTCTTATAATTGCTAATAAACATATGACTTTAATACTAAAAATGTAGTGTACGTTGGGATAAAACTGCAGGTATAGACCTTTTTTAAATTCAGATGGCAACTATAGAATGTGCCCTTATATTTATATACGTTCATCCCGCTATAAAACAAATTTTTTAAATTAATTTCTTATAGAAGTTAATATGAAAGAATAAAAACATTACATATATTAATTCTCAATAAGCTTGTTACTCTATCGACGTGTATAATATTAGGACTATTATGCATGTAACGTTTTATTCTATGACTATAGTACAGGTATAGAAGACTTATTAATAGGTATGTCATATTATGATAATATATTAGAGGTGCACTTGTTTTTTGATCCACCACCTAATTCGTGCCTTATATAATTATTCTACATTCGCCTACCTAAGTATACCATTGTCGGCCACAATGATAGACCTATAGAATAATATAGGTGGACGTGAGGGGGCGATAAAGCGATTGCCACCGGAGCCTTATTAGATCGTAATTTTAATATTCTATAAGTTTATTTTTTCTATGATAACATTATTATTATAAGCTTGACATATTTGCTGGCAAGAGAGTTTCGCGCAATACAAATCCCTCATAAATATTATATTACTAATAAAACATATAAATATTTTTGAAAATACGCCCCCCCCCTCTTAAACAACTTCTGGATCTGCTTCTGACTAGAATAAGCTATATTTATAAATCTAAATGACTTTGTGAATTGATAACTATATTATTATAAGAATAGTGACGGTTATGTACATTTATCCTTAATTTAAATATCTTGTGACTATTTTATAGTCTTACCAATAAGCTTACACTACGAATAAATATATTATTATTTCACTTGGAATTTCTAAACCTAAATACAATACCTTTTATTATATATATATACTAACATTATTGATAAATAATTCTATCAATTTTAAAAAAAATATTTCATTCTTAGGTGGTTGGGTGTTTAAATATTATACAATTTTACTGTTTAATGCTCTTGCATTTATACTTCTAAGCGTTATTTGATTTTTTGGTTTACGTTATTATATTATTAAATATTATTTACATTTTTTGTTTTCTATTTGACGTTATTTAACATTTATTAAATTATAAATTGTAACATACTTTAAAAATAAATTCTTTTAATAATTGTTTATATAGGTAATTAATATAATACTGATGTATGAATTATATAAAACTGATGTAAAAACTATGATATTTGAAGATAGCATATTATGTATCTATCAGGTTATGTTATTTTAAATGATCCTCTAGTCAAACAGTTAACTGGTTAATTAATAGTTATTGTTAGTGTAGCATTAGGTGTTAACCTCAGTAAGCTATATAAAGTAACAAATACAGTAATGTTTATTATTTAAACTAGATTTAAATATAAATTCATATTAAAATATTGTCTGACCACTAAAAACAAAAATATAATTTTATAAATGATATGGAAAATGTGTTTAGTTGATTCTAATTTAAGATACATATTTATGTAAATAATACCTCGAGTCCTTATACATTTTAAAATGTTCAATATCACTACTATCAACCATAAGTATTAAATATAATAACTTACCAATAAGTGTCTTAACGTAAAGGTCTTACTTAGCTAAATAATATAATAACTAGGTAATACGGTTATAAAAAAAGCTTATGAGACCTATGAAGGGTGTAATTATAATATTGTGTTTCGGAACTAATATTTTATAGATTGTAATGATTGTACGAGTTTAAAGTTTTAATTTCCAACTATAACTATAATAATAATTTTTATCTGTTTTGAAAATTTTTTGTTGAATAGGAAAAAAATCTTGCTTATACAAATTATTTTGTACAATATTCATAGTATACAAAAATTAATGAACTGACTTTTATTTAAATAATAAATCATACAAATTATTTATAAGCTCTTATTATTAAAATGTTTTCCAAAATTTGACTGGATAATGATGATATCACGTCCAACAAAATTAGCCAACTTTAAATAGTTCATGCCTATAATGTTTAAAAATAATAATAATAATAATAATGTCAGGTGTGACGTAAAAAAAACACAAACGTTAATTCGAAAAACAGTTTTTCGAAATAATGCTTTTACATTAGGTACATGTAGGTATGTTTATTGTTTATTGTAAATATTTAATTATGATATAATATTTTGTTACATGGTATTCGATTTCTTTCGTTTTTCGTTTATTGATAATGTTTATTTTTTCAAAATGTTTTTCATTATAAGTAACGTTTTCAAGCACGGAGGTACATACAATAACTCCTAATTATAATATTGTCTACGAGCCATATAAACTGATATTCTCGTTATTCCTTTAAAAGAAACTTACGATGTGAATTTAATATATATTATGTTATTTATTTTAAATTGGGGGTGGGGGTTGAAACTTATTCAGGAATTGGGTAAAATTGTCGACAAGCTGTTTATAATCGAAGCTTGTTAATACACAATATATTACGCATAGAAATTAGTAAGTACCTACGACGCGTGAACAACGATACAACAATGGTTAGTTAGTCGCTGTATGGACCGAAATTCGTAGTCGAAATCAGATATTATAGTTGTTGCACCTATGTAGGTAGGTTCCAAAGGTTATGACGGTCATCGATCAGCCATCAACTTACTTTATGAAATGTATGTGTTTTGTGTGTATTTATAGTATATTATATCAACAACGATTTTTAATATAATGTTATCATGAATTGTGAAATCAACAAACCGTGAGTCAGCGGCCGCCGATACAGGGACAATTGTAATTAAAAGACAATTATTGCTAATATATAAATCGCACATATTGTACGTCTCGCACGGTTAAATACATATCTACTATTATATCAGGTTATAGGCGTAGTTTGAATTGATTTGAATTTTTGATGGGGGGGGGGGGGTAAAGCCTTTTTTTAGTTCCTTTTGGTATCAACAAAGCTGCCTGAATTTTTTACTAATTCCTAGGGGGCTTAACAGAATTCTGGGGGGGGGGGCTATAGCCCTCTTATCCCTCCCATTCTAAGCCTATGTATCAGGTGCGTGTAATAAGTTGTATATTAAATAAATGAGCCTTGGTATTGGCCATTGGCATACAAGGTAAAGATTCCTCAGATATAGTATTTACATAAACAATTAACAGATTTATGCAGTATTTATAAGATTGGTCATGATTAAAAAATGCATCACGAAACTTATGTTGTCTTTGTGGAGAGCTGTACTATGTTTTGTTTGTTTGTACAATTGTATTTGATAATATTGTAATTATAATTTTTATTTTTATTTTTGATGTAAATTATTATAAACTAGTATTTTAACTTAGTATTTAATATTTAGAAGAGCAGAGTGACAGAGTGGAATGGCACCGGTTCAAGTACCATTATGCAAATATTAGTCCACTATACCTACATTATATGCTCCGATAATCTAAACGTCAAATACATATTAGTTATAACTTATAACCAATTAACTATATTCATTTAAATTAAAGTTTTTAAATATTGAGATTCTCATAAAATATATATATATAACATTTTAATAAATAATAAACATTTTCAACATGAAATTAAAAATTTAGATGCACATATAATTAAACAGT